GTGAGACTGAGTAGCGGAATTTTTATATATAACTAGAAAAAGAGAAATTTGATAATAATATCTTAGCTATGCATCACATGGGTGTTGGTGAAGGGTCGTTTTCTTTCTACTACTGTGAACTTGTTCCCACTAGAGATGGGAAGATATCAGAACAGATTTTGTGTATCAAAAGGGGACCTACTCTCTTACTTATCAGTCAATCTGGTGTCTGACTTGGCCAACCATCCACCACTCATAACCAATTACTACTTATAATATTGAATCATATTAGTAAAGGATTATGGCAAATATACGAGGAAAATGATTTATTGAAAAATAAAATAAAATATTATAACATGATATCATGTAATTTTTATTAGCTCTTTTAATTAAGATGAAACGCACACACATATATATATATATATATATATGATTATTCAGTGATCCAAGTCCACTAGAATGGACTACTTGTGTGTTGTGTCCGTCAGTCAATTTCTTTCCACCATATATGGTTCTGCCTACGGTACATCTTCAGCACAAGATCGATGGTCTCCCCAACCAATGCAATTTTGATACAGCGTATTCAATTTCTTTCCACCATATATGGTTCTGCCTACAGTACATCTTCAGCGCAAGATCGATGGTCTCCCCAACCAATGCAATTTTGATACAGCTTATTCTGCAGGAACTAGGATAGCAGAAATTGCAGTCGCATGTACAGGTAGCAATGTCACTCTGAAAGTCTATTGCTACGTACATCTACTTACATATGCTCTTCTTTCTTAGCATGAAATTTACATAATTATAGTTTATAACCTTTTGGTGTGTAATTTTAAAGTTGATTTTAAACTAAATATTAGCTATATATAATTTTTAATTATTTTTAACAGTTAAATCAAATATATTTTAAGTAAATACATTTCAGGCACTTCCAAATTATAACGAAATAGTTCCGATTTCTTAAATTCTAAATGGATCCATAACGAGTGGATCTGAATCAGGCTCCAGACATTCGCAGGCTGCATCTTTAAGACGCAGCCCAAATGCATTGAGGTCTCGTGAGTCGTGACAATGAAAAGTAGATCCACCAAGTTGGGTCCATTCAGCTCTCGGGCAGTCCGACCAGTTGCCAGGCTACGTTCAGATATTATATATTGAGCATTGATGGACAAATTTATGTCCTGTCTTTTTATTTATTTATACCATATGATCGTCCAATGTTTAGATTACCTTTTCAATTCGTGAAAATTTTCCATTAATAACCCTCAAAAAATATTTAACTTAGATCCATGAGGGTTGGATCTACCAATAAGGTCCAAACTCTTGAATTTTTCAATCTTAAATATACAAATTAATAAGAAATTTAAACTTCTTTTGGTTTTCTTAATTCCTAGGAAGTGGGACTTTTTGAGACATCTTTCACCCAATCTTAAACAATCAAACAAGTTGTCACCAACGTGGGCACAAATTATTTTTGTCTTCGTATTAATGGATGGACGAATGGACCATTAGCTCCCAAAATTAATGCAAAAGTTGAAGTATACCCTGCTCTTATTGGATTTTATTTGTTTTGTAGGGTTCTAAAGGATGATCATTTAAATCCAATCATGTTACAGCACACACAAGTTAATTATGTGAACATTGTATTCGCATGGAAGTGCCTTTTTTTTTTTTGTGAACTTTTACTTTGATGCTGACAACCAAAACACTATATATAAATAATGTCATAAAGTTTGCTTCATTATCATTTGACCGCAAAGGCGCAAACTATAAATTACGCTTGTTACCTATGGTAGAAATTTGCCTAATATCCAATTTGTAAATATTCGTAAAAGGACAAACAATTTGGGTACGCTTGCTATAAAGAAAATATATCACAAAGTGCACGTCTTTGTTATCCAAAAGGCAAGAACAGTTGAGTTTCAATCAAGAAATGGCGATTGGATAACAAGGGTGATTTAATAGTAACATTTATCCTTAGAGAAGTTAACCAAGAGATGAAAATTTTTCTTGAATTGAATTGTCCATAAACTCTGTCACTTGGATTGATTGCTCTTATCTCTGTTAATTCTATATCTGATTGGAGCCATGATTGATCCTATTACATTTGTACATGCAGGTTGAGGATTGTTGAGATCATAAGCAAAGCGTACCCAAGTGAGAATGTAAAAATGAATCAATTCTCCATTTCAACAAGTCAGAGCAATGTAACCTAATTGTTTATTCTCCATATCTTCCAGATACGAATCTGATATTGTTCTTTGGCACTTCATTCCCCCACAAAAATGTCAAGGGAATATTTAAGGATTCAGAATTGAGAAGATTCTACTAGTTGAAATTAAGGTAATAGGCACAATCAAAGTTTCTAACCATCTCCTTAATTAAACAAATCCCTAAATTTCAAACTACGTAGCATCATCTTTAACCTATCGATTGAAAGAAAAAAGATGGGGTAGAGAGATACCTATAGGTGCAATTCATATCTGGCAAATGAATAATTGATAGGCTAAGTGGAGCTCTGGTAGGATCAAAGATTGTTTTTGTCACCAAAATGGCACCAATATATAATTAGAATTATAGGTCAGCTTCCATTTTCAATTCCAGGGAACCGACCTTAATAGAGAACATCAGTGGCCTTACACAGAATCATTTTTTTTCTATAAAATAAATAAGTAAATGAACTTTGGGGCATATATAATTGCAAGAACCACGAGAAAATGATGGGGGTGCATTCCTCGGAGGATTCCCACTACAAAGACATCTGAGTTTTGGGAAGTTCTTGGGGGCATATAATAAAATGGTCAAGGCTATAATTGCAAGCCAATTTGTGACTTGGGAGATTCTGTGTGTTATAATGCAGGGCACAAAAGTAGCTGACATAGCTCACCTGGGCCAGTAGCTAGTAGATTTCCCACTGCTGTCCATGAATCGTTTTTCCCATTAACATCCTGTTAAAAAGACTTAAAGGTTAGGATATTTTGGGTATATTAAACATATTATCTCATCATTAAGAGTATATTCAAACAAAAATGATATATCATTAAGACATGTAATATTATAATTTTACAAATCATGAAATATGTATAATTATTCCATTAATTTTTTTTTAAATCTACTCATAATAATTATATATATTTATACACATTTAATGATATATTATAATTATAAACTTAAATAACATTCTAAGTGTATCAATCATTGTAACATTTCAAACCTTCATCAAATAATAGATAAAATAAAAGATAAGAACTCTTCCAAATAAATATACTTCATGTTTAATAACGTGTTTAAGTTAAAAATAAAAAAAAAAGAATTTAGTATAATCACATCAAAATTTTAATATTTTGTAATTTAAATTATATTAAATTATAAAGTATTTTAAAAGGTCTTCCCATTATCATCTTCAAGGTACTTGACCCGAGCTCTAGTCCAAACAAAGGTTTTTTGGGTCTAAAACCCGACACGAATCGAGCACAGCCTGTTACCTGTATGATTAAACCTTACTCCTGCCGCCTCAAATTGTTGGATTTCTAAATTCTTATTCAGTGAATTAACGAAGAGGTTCCAAGATAGGGTGCATTTTCTTATATTCTTGCAACTATATGCCTCATCACCTATAGGTATGTACTAACTGCCCATTTCCCATGGGTAGGAAGCTATTTCCTGCTTGAAATTGAGAATCTCAAAGTCGGCCCTTCCATCACCCATCCCTTTTTCCTGTTTCGATTGCTGATTTGTTTCTCATAAATTAAAAGCATTAAACTCATTTTTTAGTTGAAATGAGTATTTAGATTTTAGATTTAATTAATCCTGTGAACAACAAGAAAAACAAATTAATCTTTTAAATATTTATAAATTATTTTGTTTACAAATAAAAAATTCAGACCAACAATTTAAATAATTTAATAATTATTTCCTTCCGTTTGGAAAAAGAAATCCTGAATTCAAGTCGCATGATATACAAATAAAGTAGGATAAGAAATGAGAGTTGATTACCTCTAAATTGTATAATTAAGATAAAAAAAATAAAATACAATGTCATCTTTAAAAAATAACAGAACAATAAAGATATAAGAGAATTGTATTGAGAATTAATGATAAGAACTAATTAACAAACAAGTTCAATGATTGATTTTATATCGTGTTGCACTCTAATACCCGTGCCTACTTCTCTTCTTTTCTTAGGTCGGCAATTTTGTTCGTTATTTTACCTTCTTTTTATTGGCCATGATAGTGATTATGCATATCAGATAGTGATTATGAATATCATAATGTCCTCGTGCCGATTTTTTTTTTTTTTTTTTTTTTTTTTTGAACCAGGGGAATTGATGGGGGTGGGAAATTTGGGGTTCGTGCAGCTAGCAAATTGAATTCTTTGCATATAGCTGGCAATTTTGTTAGTTATTATACCCTTTTTTTTTTGGCCAAGTTGGTTATTACACATATCATGTTGTACTCATGCCAACTTCTCTTCCTTTTCTCTTAGGTTAACAATTTTGTTAGTTACTATACACCTTTTTTTTTTTTATTGGCCGAGTTAGTTATAATATTTTTATTATTGGTAAAAAAAA